TTTTTTTTTTTTTTTTTTGGTACCAGGGATTGAACTTGGGACCTTGAGCTTGCCAGGCAGGCAGCAGAACCACTAAGCTAAATTCCCGGCTGTATTCTCAAATCTTAGATGATTTCATCCATTCTTAGTTTATTAAATGTGATCCTTAGGCTACTATCTCCCAAAATCTATTTTTAGAGTAGGTCTCTTTTCTGAAACATACAATAATGAAACACTCTATTCTTTATTTCACCTTTCTTCATGCCACAGCCATCTCAAAAGTTCTTGCAAGATTCCCGTTAAAATGAGTATATACAATCAACTACTTGCAAAATGAGTCATCTCTATCATCTCTTTGTATTTACTACCATATATGATAAGCCACCTTTATTAATGTTGTATATTAATTTCCTTTTGTACTTAACAATTTACCGCATTCTACAACTATTGTTATCAACTCTGACTGGCAATATTACAATACAATTTAGCCTGTTTTTTCTATATCTACTTTTGCTAGACTATAGTTCACTTCCACTGATTCCTCCAGAGAGCTCATTTAAAAGTGAAGATGATCTTACTATATCATCACTTAAATCCCACCAAAATTTTCTGTTACTGTTAGTATAAAAAGTCATATAAGGGCTCCAGTTTTCTGGCTCTCATCTCGTTCTCTGGTGTCCCTACTGTTCCTGTTCCTTGGATCTGGACTCTACACACCCTGGACCTCTCCTCCAAGATCTTTTACATCTCAGGTCTTCTATTCTCACTGTTTTTCCTGCTCAGGGTATTACTTTTATCATTAATGTGATTGCATTTTTATCTTTTAAAATTATGCAGAAATATTTCTTGAAAGCACTAATCCCAATTGACAGTCATTGTTCATTTCCGTTTTTGTATGTCTTTTTTCCCAATTAATTTCTGCCTCTGTAGCCCTATTATAAACTCCATCAATATCAGTGTTTAATTGTGTGGCATGTGCTTCACACTTAGCCTGTTCCCAACTTGTGATCATACATATGGAAAAGAAATGCAAGGATTTTGCATACTAGACTTTATTTTGTGAATGAAATTAAGTATTTTTTCTGAGTATGCATCAGGCCTTATTTGACTTTTCATCTTATTTTACCAGCTAAAATCAGAGGACTCTTAAATAAAATCTTTTTAAAAATGCAATATATAAAACAAATAGTCTGAAAAAAACCCCACAAATAGTCATACAGTTCTGTGTGTTACTCTTCACATGATCAGGTGGGCACTTTTCGCATGGCCTTTTTCCTATTCCCCAGGTTAGACTCAGAGTCCAGTAATCCTTATCCCTTCACATGTGCTTATCTGCAGTAATGTGGGTTTCACAATGGAGCTCTGTAAAAGGCAGTCTTAGGACCCACTCCAGACACACTGAATCAGAAATCTACATTCTAAGAGATCTTTAGTGGATTATTAAGCCTGTCGTTACTGAGTTAGAGCACTTAGAACTATGAATTGTACATACTTGGTTTTAAAATTGACTTACCTAAATTCTTCATAGAACAATATTGTGGATGACTGTTAAAAGTTTTTTTTGTTGTTGTTCTTTTTTTTTTTTTTTTCTGTGAGGTGGACCAGGGATAAACAAGATTCTTCTCTATTACTATGTTCTACCTATACGTTCTACTATGACTTTCCTCTCAATGAAGGATTGGTCTTTCATTCATTGAGGTATATGAACCTGAAGGTAGGCATTTTAATATTATTTTCCTCAGAAGTGTTTCAAACAACAGGCCAAGAGGTACTAGTGTGTGAGGAGAGGGCCTAATAGTTTCATTAGTTGGGTTGTTTTGTTGCTATTAGGTAATCATTTGAGCCAAATCAAGAGAAAACGATGCATGTTAGTGTCATTTCTGTATTTGAAGAACAAATCAGAACAAAATGAAACATCCTTTATTTTTGCTTAGTAACACTCTTTTAAGTCTAGACTTTCACTGAAGTCCTACTTACACTGAACGCTTCCTTCCAAATCAAGTTTTATGGCTCTCAATATTTTAAATCTCTCCAATTAAAATATTCAATTAAGTAGAGTACAAATATTCAGTAATAAGACACGATCATAGCCAAGTATGCCATATAGAAACTAGTATATTTGGAGTCTTCTCTCTAAAGTCACTTACGTGGAGTGGAAGACTTGAAAGCAATGAAATCCTTTTCAATATGGGTCATTGTGACAGCATCACTCCGTCCATAATATCCATAATACTGCATAGGAAGACTATGTGTGTCTGCCATGGCTTCTCCCCTCTCAGTGGTCACCCAGACGATTCCATCACCCCCTGAGAAAGATATCAAACCTAATAAAATATGTGGTATTACATGACATTTATACATACATAGTATAATTCGCATCATTATTCCTTACTTTAGTAGATTTTATCATGGTATTATTTAAAATATAAGTATCTTACTACTAGACAATGTACCTTACTGGTTTGAAACAATCCTAGTTTCAAATGATTGAGACATTTCTCATTATTCTAGGCTACTTATTGTTTTTTAACCTTTCTCGGCTGGATTTAAACAGGATATTAACCTGTTGCTTCCCTCATCCATCTCTGTTAAAAATTAAAGTTAGAAACCAGTCTTAGAGAATTTTAGGGACACTCCCTGGGGTTCTAACTGAGACTCACTGCCTCGGCAGGCCTGCATGATGATGATCTTGGGTTTATTTCTCAGATTCTTGCAATTATGGTTGTTAAAAATTGTAAAGATGGTGTCATCATGAAGAATATCTGGTTTGTTAATGCTGTGCTTTGTCCCACAAATTCCATCCAGAATGCCATGTGACATAAACACCAGGAATGTGCTGTCTGATGACTGGTGGCCTTCATGGTCAGCAAACCGCCTTAGCTCTGTTTCCATTCCCTGAAAAGAATCCAGAGTCACTATGGAGAAACTTTCTGTACATAGTTTATATGCACATAGGTGACAAAATTAACAAAAATGAATAAGAACTAAATAATCAGCTGATTTTGATTGAATGGAATTGTAAGAGCAGTAGTATTCTGGTATAAATCTAGACAATGCAGGTATACAGAATATAAAAGTTGGTAGTGTTTTTATTTATCATCTACTCCAGTGTTTCTTTAGCAGAGCCTCAAGTTTCTAAAGAAACTGAGGTATAGAATATAATGAGGCCAAGTGAGATGACTAGTTTCCTACAGGCTCAATTTGTTTTCATTTGTATTACAATGGGATTACTATAGGTTTTCATAAAAGAAAGGAAAGACAGGCAGGCAGAGTTTTCCACTGACAAAAAATTAAAAGCACCAAATTTCTTCATCATGGACTAACTAAATGTTAGGCTTAAAATTATTTGTCTAAAGCCTCCCAGTTTATTGTAACAGAATCAGAATCACAACTACTTACATATTTTTACAGTTAGACACATGAATTTGACATTATTATGACTCACAAATCCATTTAGCAAATACCAGCTAGTTTCAAGACTCACAACTTGTGTCTTACCCAGACCATCAACTAATAGATACCTCACAAATTGAGATTTCTGAAATACCCAACATTTTTACTGAAATATTGTTATATAGAAACTGTCTAAATATTTGCTATGAGATTGTACACTGGAGAACACGGAGGTCCAGGGGATCCCATTCTAGAGCAAATAAAATTCCTGTACTATGATATATTTTGTTTTTGCTGCTACCAAGGGAGAGGCTGAAAATTGTTTAAGAAGGAAAGAGGTTTATTCTACTCTCTAGGACTGTTACCTGAGCCGTCAGGTTCACTTTTACAATAACTGAATATCCAAGGTCATTGAGCAGGTCTTGCATCCTCAAAAGGTCAATATCAGCGCCATTTCGATTAGAAAGAGAGTCAAATGTTTTGTTGCAGATGATGAGGGCCAGGCGGGTTCGACCTTCCTTCTTCATTACGGGATATATCTGTAATTAGGAGACAGAATGCCTTGACCCAGGCCCTTCCAATCTGCCACCAAAATTCAAACAAAACAAGCCAGTATAATTATAAAGTGGATGACAGAAATATTGGTAATGAAATATACCCTCATGAGAAGAAAGAAAAAGCACGAAAATGAAAACACATGCTAGGTCTGAATATTCATTCCCTCTTAGAACTTGGTACGGGTTAGGTGGTGTAGACTATTAATGTGCTCCAGCGTGAGAGGAAAGAAATGGGGAATCTAATGTGAAGACCACTCTACTAGATGTGACCAATGCCCTTTGTCTTGATTTGAAGGTGTTTCTACAAGAACTAAAACATTCGTTGTCTCTCCGGTGTCTTGCTTGAATTCACAATATTCTGTCTCCCTATTCAAAGCATATCACCTCATCTGCCTTTTCTGTCTTCAGTTTATCGAAATGATCAGGAGGGCAAAGCTTCAGTGCATCCTCGGATCGGGCACTGTGGGTTTCCTGAGGAACTAAAAGAACAACAGAAAAAAATAAAAAAGAAGAAACAAAGAAAACAACTCAGTAGTAGCATAGTAGTATAGTAGTAACATATACTGCCCTGCCAACAGTCAAATCTATTCTTGTTTGTCAGGAATGTTTACTACAATTCCTCTTAAAAGCATAATAAAATAAGAAAATCCTTTCTTATTTAACTAAAACAAAAGTCTTAGGAAACCCTCTCTTTTTTTCTGCTTATTACTGACTGCACTGTAGATTTCTGTCTATCTAGTGGTAATAGCATTGACTAGTCTTAAAAAGCCAACTCTATATCATCACATAAATTACAGAATCTAGAATTTGTAAAGAAGACTAATATTCATTTAGCTCAGTCAAATCGCTATTCAAATGTTTGAACTCCCTTTACAATATCTGTTTTCTTATTAACACTCTGACGTCCATTTACAATATCCCTAGACAAGTAACCTACATTATTCTACAACATTCTTAACAATTCTATGTATCACAAAATGTTTACCCTCTTGTTAATGGTATGCATTAATCACTATGTGACCATTCAGAAATCATGGAATCTCTTTCCCAATGACAGCTCAAGAATATTTTCATGGGTTCAATATGTCTTTTTTCTGCATTTCCTTTTTTTTTTTTTTTTTTGTACTTGGGTCCTTGTGCTTGAGAGGCAGGCTGCTGAACCACTGACCTAAATCCCTGCCCCCTGTTTTTCCATTCTTAAATGTGAATGCCCAATATAAGTAGTAATTTGCATTGTGTTTTAATTGTGATCAGTGTACCATCAAGTAATTAGGACACGATGATGTCTTTCATTTATGTGTTCTCAGTATTTAAAATGATTATCCGGGAAGATTCAAAGTTTGTAACTCTTTATTAATGAATAGTTTTAAATACTTGAAAATATCTCTGTTTTGTTATTTGTTTTTCTTTAGGGTTCAAGCCCTCTGTTCCTTGTAATATTTTTGCATACAAGTTATTTTATCTTGGTAATCAAAAAATCTATCAGTTTACCTACAAGTCTACCCATTTATTTCATTCTCCATTCTACTGCAAAGATGTGTTTTTCCTTCTAAGGTCATCTGCTGTCCTTAGGCTCTGAATTCCATTCCCCCAACCCACAAGGATTCTACTCAGATACTTATTCATCCCCTATTCTACATTATCAATTTCGCCCTCTCTCCACACTGTTACCCACATAGTCATATTAGCATAATTTAACATCAATCTTCTTTTTAAGAAAATTTCTCTTGGCCTTGTTTCTTCTTTAGCTACTGTTATATTTCTCTGCTTCACTTCCTAGCACAATTCCATAAGGTACTCTCTATTATTCTCACCATTTTTTTTTATTTTTTCCTTTTGTACAATTCAATCTGGCTGTTATCCTCATCACTAAAATTAAATACTTCTTATCAAAGCTACCATATATCATTTGTTTATTAACCATTTTATATGGGAAAATGCATTCCATTTTTGGTCAGTGCTTTTTAAGTTTCTATAATGTTGTGTTTTTCATCCATTCTTTGTAAAGCTGCATTCATTGATGCTTCTTTCTCTTTGCTATAATTCCAAAATTTAGATTGTCTTATTTTGCACTCCCATGTTATTGTCTATCAATGATTTTTTTCCCAAGTGGGCATCTTCCAGTGTTAGCATTTTTATACTCTCGGGCTAGGGATTTACCTCAGTGGTTCTGCCACCTGCCTTGCAAGCGCAAGGACCCAAGTTGGATCCCCGGTACCAAAAATAAATAAATAAATAAATAAATATTTTAAAAAAGAATGTTTATACTCTCTGTACACTAATGATTCCAAGATTAATTCCAACACTGATTTCTCTGTGAACTCTGCAGTGGATCATCCACCTGCATATTCATTTTTTGCCCTTGGGGATAACAAGTATTTCAACTACACATGTATAAAGCAAGACACTTGATATTTGCTTCCTTTACAGATCTGTCTTTCCTGCACACTACAAGTTTTCTTTAACTCAGTAGAATGTACCACTGGCAAACCAAAACAAGAATTTGATTCCTTCCATGCTTACTCTCTATTTAAACTACTAATTAAATGTTTGTTATGATCTTTAATGTTATAACCTCAATCTCAAAGCTGTTATCTCTTAACATTTAACTAATATATGAAAACATAAAATGGTATATGTTTATCGGATAATATGTGATATTTTGACACATATATACATTGTGTAATGCTTAAATCTAAATAAAGGAAAACATTCTAAGATTTTCTGTTGCAAACAATATCCAAATCCTTTGCCATTGGCAAAATAGCCTACTCAGAAGGTCCCAGATCTATTTTATAGCTTCACCAATCAAACTTTTCCTAATTTCCTATTACATCTAGATTGGCCTTCCCTTCTTACCTGTTACAGATAAGACCATACCTGTCTCAGGCCCATTCCCCTCTCCTTTTCACTTAAGAATTTGGCACAACGCCTTTTCTGCATCACTCAGGTACCTACTGATGAATAACCTGTACCACTTCCTTTCCCCAACCCTCCTCACTCTCCGCTGGCCCACACGCACTCTCTCTTTCTCTGACATATATGATCCTCTTTTCTCATACATATACTCTGAAAATACACTGTTTTCTACATGGATATTATATATCCGTGCTTAATAATTAAAAACTTAATACCAGAAATATCTCGATTTGTCTTACTGCCATGTGAACCTAGCATTGAGTGGTAGCAATTCAGGTTTTCAATTACTGTGCTGAATAAAAAATTGCCATATTTACTTATTTTGTAAATTTGTTCAAAATTTCTGAAATAATGGTACTCAGGAAATAATAAAATTATAACCCCCTTCTCAATATAGAATTCTTTAATGTACCTCAATAATTAAGCAATTTAGTTGATTACTCTGTCACTCATAGTGAGGTTCTTAAATGGTTTTTAAAATATCTTCATCCTATTTTTTATAGTTGGTAATTTCCTGTATCTTTATTTTTATTTATTTAAAAGTGTTACTAATCTCGTTAAAATGTGAGTCTCTTCTGACTAATCTACACTGTGTCTACTGTTATAGTATGTTACCACCACCAGAGCTCATGGCTAGTGGTTCTCTGTAGGTAGCCTTCTTTACTGCTACTCAGGTTCCTTGTAGAGCTTCTGTGTTGCCATAAAGGCTTTTTAAAATCTGCTTAGCTTACATTATTTCATTATGTATCCTGGCGTAGACATTACCTATCAGCTTTAGAACTGATGCCTTGGCCACATCAGCGTTCTCCTTCATTTCTTTCACTTTTTTTTTTTTTTTCTGGATTCTGAGAATTAAAGAGCAGGGAACTAAGTAGTAACCATGTTTTTGAGAGACATTCTTAGAGACAGAAGTGAGAGAAACCTAGATTGTGTGAACCTCAATTCAGTGCTCATTTCACCATCATAAAGAGCCCCTGCATGTCACCCTAAACTGATGACCAAGGGTTCCCATGAAGTGTTGTATCTGCTAGTGCTTACCAACTGGAGAGATAGCCAGTGTCTCAGCTGATAAGGTGTTTTCTTCATCTCTACTTTCTTCATTTTCATCTTCAGATGCTGAGATAGAAATAAAGAAAACACTAAGAATCAGTGCATGTGCAGTATTATGAAACTAATTTCCAATGATGAAAATTGATTAGGACCACAAATTTCCTAGGTTTTCTTGAGATACTTTTCCATGAGAATTAAAATCTGAAAGTGTTCTATTGTTACCTACTAGGACCATCCTAGGACCATCCTAGGTTTTCTTGAGATACTTTTCCATGAGAATTAAAATCTGAAAGTGTTCTATTGTTACCTGTCGAAGGGGAGGAGGGTGTAGAACTTTTTTCAGATTCATCATCATTTTCAGGGTGAAATTCTGAAATAATATGAAAAATAGATTTGTCAGCAGAACTAGATTTCTAGAACCTATATATGTTAAACTCGCTGAATCATACTGCTAAGTAAATGAACATGAACATGGACAGACTCCTCTGTGAAACATGATTTAGTCAGATTTCCAACTCCACACGTCTCAGAGGTTGCTGCCCTGTTGAAAAGAGTTAGAGTTTCTATGAAACAAAGTGGAACATATTTAGCTTCCTGCTTATATAATTGAAAGAATAAAAATTTTTAGTCAAGTCTTGTTGGTGATAGCATTTACTATCCTGAAAGAGATGTACGTCTCTGTAGAAAAATAAAGTAATCTTTAAACAACAACAAAAATATTTCCAAAGGAATAATCCAAAAATTTAGCATATACTTATTTATATATTATACTCTAGAGTGGAGTCAGTGAAGTATAACCTAGAAAGCAAAATTAATAAAGCTTTATTGAATTACACCAACACTCATGGCATATTTTATTGATATTCTCATGTCACAAGAATAGAGTTGAGTCATGAAGGAGACCATATTATCCACAAGTTTAAAATATTTACTATGTTGTGGGGAAAAGATATGTCATCCTACATTCTATCAAGAAGCAAACAGTAACTGTTAAATTCTGTGTCTTCTTCTAACTGATATAAATCTAGATTTCCAGAAATTTCTTTGAGGAACTATGGCACAGAAAATGGTGAGTTTTTCTCCACTGAAGGTTCTATATGTCTTAGACTCTCTATGGACTATCTCTGAATTCTAAACAGTCTTTCATTCACATTTTTTTGAGATGCCATTTATAATGTATTTAGGATATATTTATGAAACATTTCAGGCAGAGATCCCTGTACTTTGGAGCTAATATTTTAGAAGAAGGTAATTATATAATGAATATATAAATTTTATGGTATCATTAAGGGTGATAATTGTTAAAGGAAAAGGAAAATGTTCAATAGTATAAAATAATGTGGGTAGGTCAGGGTACACTGTGCTATTAGAATAAATAATGAAGAAAAAATTCCTTTTGATGGGGACAGTTTATTCTGTGCTTGGAAGTAGGAGAATAAAACTAGAAAGTACAAAAGAACAGCAAAGAAAGAATGAATAATTAGGCCTCTGACTGAAACTACTCACTTAATCTCAGTTGTTTCTTGGAACTTTTAAAGTGGTTGGCAAATAATTTGCTTGCCTTTTCAGTTTTTTCAATGATATCCTCAACCAGGTTTTCAGTGTTGTTCACGATGAGGTTTACATCTTTCTTTATTTTGCGCAGTTCCTCTTTGTTTAATACATTTTTTCCAAAGTCATGAAATATTCCCTCAACCAGGTTCGTGACAACAGACTTTATATTGTTGAGTGGATCTTCATCAAGTGGTTCCTTAGCTGTGAGAATGATAGATATTAGATAAAGACAGAACCTCAGACATTTGCTTCCAGGCCAGTGGTTCTCAAATTTTAATGTGCATTAATAATCATCTGGAAAACTTGCTAAGCAGAGCATTCTCTACCACATTTTCCCAGATTCACAGAACAGGATGAGTCCCACAAATTTTTAATTCTAACAATTTTCTTCTGCCTCCCCATCTCTTTTGTTTATTTTTTGAGATAAGGTCTTGCTTTGCAGTGTAGGCTGGCCTTGAACTCACTATGTAGCCCAGGCTGGCCTCAAGCTCTAGCTGATCCTCCTTCCTCAGCTTGCAGAGTCATGGGATTGCAGGAATGTGCCACCATGCCCCAGGCGATCCCTCTTCTGTTTTCCAAATTGAGAATCTGAGGTTCAGGGAAGGGAATTAAATTCACAAACTAACTTGCTTTTAGCTGATGGGTTCATTCTTTTTATTATCCATGATCCCTTACTTTCTTTTTTTCTTAATACAGTAACTAATTTTAGAAGACACAATATTGAACATGTGTAGCTATAAAACATAAAGATATCACATCTGTGAAATAATACTTTCTTTTCTCTGTATTGCTATGGCTAACAGACGTTCCTGTGCTCAGAGATTAAGAACACAAACTATCGCTCATTTACTTGCTGCTGAAAATGAAAGCAAATACAGAGAGCAGAAAGAAGGAAGAAATGTGAGTTATTATGTGTAGCTTCATGATCTCTCACCCTGAAAATGGTGAGAATGTCAGGACAATATGTGTCAAAAGAAAAGCCTTAGATCACAGAAAAATATAAGGGACTTAAATCTGGATTATTTACATTTACCTTTCTTTCAAGAAGCTGTAAAATGTTAACTTTGTTCATAAAGTCCCTGATGTGCCCCAAGCTTCCATAATTCCTTTTGTACCCAATCCCCAGACAAAAAACAGGCCTATGTGGTAAATCTCTCTCCCTGCCTCTTTCCTCTCTCAGAGCCCCGAGGTCTAGCTCCCTAAAACACAGCCATAAGAGGAGAAAAAGTGAAGCTACTTACCAGCCATGGCTGTCCACACTCTCTGGGCAGGAAAAACAGTGAAAGCGAAAGCACTCAAAGGCTTCCTTCCTTTCCTGTTAACAAATACCATGCTGATGCAACCTAAATGGGAAGCTCCAGCTTCTCAAATTCTGTTTTCCAGGATAAAATCAGGCATTGTTTTGGATATGTAACTTTCCTAGTTGATATAGCAAAGTTATCAGAACTAACACATACACATTCATACACAAACAAGTGCCTGTGTTCGGTGTTCAGTTTGTTTTTTAGTACTATTAATGCATTTGACTAAGCTTCTCTTTGTCTCAGTGCCACTCCCAGTTGTGACATAGCCAGGACTCTTCTCAACTAATGGCTTCTCAACTCAGGACACATGGATTTTCTAAGGCTTCAGTAAAGAGAAAGACTGACTTAGCCCTGTGAAAAGGTTATATTCCTACCACTGTTTCTCTGTTTATTTATCGAGTCTATGGGACTTGCTTATTTATTAAATTCATGTGTGTATTTTTGTGTTAAATGTGCAAGAAAATATTTTACTTAAATTATCAGTGTATGCTGTTAAAATTAAGTTATGGCAAAGTTTATAAAGTTCAGGAGGTTCTCTTAGTTTCTTTAATTTTATAGTGAAGAGTAACCACAATAATGTTTAGTTGGTATCTTTGTGAATTTTTTCTACTCTGTTGTGAAACATTTCATACAATACTGATTTTATTGATGAACTTAAGCATTGATCTGGCAGACCGGATTAAGTTAGAAATTTCCATATATGGGAAACCTCAGCCTTTTTAGAAGACATTTCTAACTTATCCGGTCTGCCATTCTCTTTTGATTGGTGAATGGAGACCACTTAATTTGCTGGTTTAATATGTATTGATTTATCCTTGTCATGTTATTTTCCTGTTGTTGGTTCCCTTTCTTTTTCCTCTGTTTAATTACTTGTCTTGTCTGGTGTATTCATTCTGTTGAAGTTCATGGTTCATTTATGGTTTACATTATTTACTTAACTTTTTCTATTTTTTAACTGCATCTTCTCTAGATTTACTAACCATGCCCTGCATTATGGTCAACATTGCTGAAGTTATCTGAGAAATTATTTCTGGTTTGATTTTTTTTCTAAAACCTTATTTATTTGTTTTGTTACTTCTGGTGTTACCACTTCAGAGAGGCCAGGTAGGTGGCTTTAGAATTGTTGTCCCTCATACCCCCTAGGTTTGCCTTTAGCAAGCTCAAAGTCTGGGGTTGCATCTTGCTTCTGTATCTTCTCGTTTTATTTTTTCTTTCTTTGTTCAATTCTTGCACTGATGCTTGTAAATTGTTTATGGTGGGTATCTTTATTGTTAGAGCTGAGAATTATTAAGAAACGACTACTTCCCAGAGAAAGATTCCAGGTGTACATGGCTTTTGGGTTTTTTCTGTTGCCATTACTACCTCTTTAATTTATTGAGGATAAGAAATGACTGCTTATTTGTCCAAGCTTTTGGTTCTTTGACACTGGCCTATAATATTGTATACGGCCCTCAGGCAATCTCTTTATTAGAATACAAGGATGAACAGTGGATTAGAACAGTTACATCACTTTGGCTAAAGTAGTACAATCAGTAATAAAAATAATATCAAATACACCATAGACAATACCAAACTGCCACATTTAACTGTATGAACGAGATTTGCAGTAATATAGATAGATAGATAGATAGATAGATTTTTAATATTATACATGTATATATATGTGAAATCAGAAAATTGTGAATAGTAAATATCGTCTCAATATGATGATTTTACCCTCAAGGTAGAAAATTTAAAGGAAGTTATGGGGAAAATAGAGAAATAAGAAAAGAGAAGATTAGAAGCAAGGTTAGAGGACAAGGGAAGCTTTGGGATCTGGTGAAGAAGACAGGAGGTAAAGATGGAAAGAGGAAAAAAACAACATAACTACAATAACAACTAGAAACAATGTTCACATTTAGGAGGAAAAGAAGGAAGGACGAAAAAAACAACATAACTACAATAACAACTAGAAACAATGTTCACATTTATATTACAACAAGAATAAATAATCAAGAAAAAGAACAAAATAGAAAATAAAATAATTTAAAAAAGAAAGGAAGGAAAAAAAGCAAAAAAAAAAAAACCATTCACATCAGGACAGGTCTCTGTTGTCACTGGTAGACAGAGGGGGCAGATAGAACCCAGATTCATGTTTCTAGGTCCCAGAAAGTCAACAGTAGAATACAGCAGTGGTGGATAATACCAGCAAACCTGGGCCTTTAATTCCACTGAAATTCAGCCTGCTTCTGTTTTTTAGCAATGAGGCTGGGTCTGAATTTTTCAGCCCATAACACTCCAAGTCCCTCCTGCTGGATTGAACTCAGCTCCCTACTGATTTGAACTTTGCTGTCGGGTACTTGAGCTCAGCTCTCTGACCTCCTGCCTATTTGAACTTGTCTCCACCTCTCTCTGACGCTGCCATCTGCTAGATGGAGCCAGCCCACAGCTGCTATGAGATCTGACTTCAGCGGGGTCGTTGCTCATTTCCAAAATGGCCACCAGCCAATTGCCCTTTCTTAGGGGGTGTCTGAACCTTAATAACACACCAACCACTTCAGGCTGCTGTATCTACTCTGTGCATTTCTCCATGGAGGCCTCTGGGGTGGCCAGTAGTTACTGTGCCTCTGCAAATTCAAACTATCATTCCCACACTATGAGCTGAGACTCAAGGAGAAAGAAACATTTGCCATCTCCCACTTCTTAACTGTACCCCTTCTATTCCCTTTCCCTGTGGGCTCTAATTCTCAATTCAGATCCTTGGATCCTGGGGAGCCACTTCCTTTCTCTGTCTCTTCCCCATGTTGCTGTATCCCAGCACATGGATTCCAGATATCAAAGCAACTATTTCTCTATTGTTCATCATTCTGTGATCTTCCTGGAATGTCATGGAATTTCCCAAACAATTAGGTTTAGTTCATTTGAACTGAATAGGGCCTATGGTTGCTTACCACTGATGTAAAACCATGTATCCTATTCCTCTGGAAACATCTTCGGAACTAGTACATTTTCTGTTTGAGAACTCACCACCCCTGCAGGCCTGAAAAATGATAACTTTGATTTTGTTTCTTGGACTATAGCAGTTGTGACTGTTGAATGCATTAAAGATGGTGTCATAAAGTACTCTATCTGCGGCTCTCTGGGGGGACCCCGTCCCGCGGGGAATAGGAGATGAGAGCCGCCTCTTATTCGTGGGTCATCAGAGGCCGATCCGATCTTGAATGTCTGTGAAGGAAATCTTTAAGAAGTTAGAGTACACGGCCCAAGTCTGGTTTCTGATCAAAGGCGCTTTATTGGCTCAGCAAAACGATTATATACTGTTATCCCAGGGGGAAGGTTCAGCAAGCTTATTGGACAGCTCAAACAAATCAATCACATGAGTCACTCAAGCATTTAACCATACAGCAATCAGTATTTTACCAAATGTGGGGAGGGGTAAGTGGGAAGGCGTACATCAACAATTAACCCTATGCAATCTTTAACTTCACAATCCCTAGGGGCAAGTAGGACGGGGAATACCACCTGCTTCCTGCTCCAGATCCCGTGACCCTGTGGTTAGCACAAAGGGCTATTTTTTCTGTAAGATTTCCTATTTGCCCAGGGGCTAGACCTGCCAAGGTCACGTATGTAGTCTAGTGGGATTTTTCCACCGAGGCAAAGGCTAAGGTTGAGGGCAGCCATGTTATGCAGGCCCAAGCAGTCTCTCACATCTATCCAGTGTTTTGTCATTATGCCCTATAGTTTTGTCACTATGTCACTATAACTCCAAAGATTCCACGCAGGATGCCATGAGAAAAAAAAGTACTAATAATGAGCTGTCTGACAATTTGTGTTCTGATTGGCCAGCAAATTCCCTTGGCACTGATGCCATATCCTGGAAAAGGCCAAAGTCTTACTTCATTAGACGAAGCTTTATTTATTTATTAATTTTAATCTTTATTAACTTTACTACATTTTAGGTATATAATACAGTTATATTCATCATTGGGATCATGTACCTTTACACGACTCATCTTTGTTCTTATTTTTCCTTATTCCCCAGCCTTCTCTTCAGCCCTTCCAATTTCCCTGTTTACAAACACATGTTTTCCATGTTTTTCCTTTTCACATATTTTTTCTTTTCCCTTTTTAACATTCTCTTACCCCTCCCACTTCATCTACTCTTTTAGACTTTTCTTCCTATTAAACAATATCAATTATACATTTTGATCCTTATTTATGCCTTTACTTTTTCACATCAGAGAAACTATTCAGTATTTAGCATGTGACTTATTAATTTCAGTTAAGAGTATGGCCACAATGTGCAGCTCCTTCTCTATAAATTTAGTTTCTCATTCTCTATGGCTGAGTAGTACTCAATTTTAATTTATCTATTTATATCTCCATCTTCTTTATCCAGTCTCCAGTATTTGGTAAATTAGGCTGTTTCCAAATTTTAGCTATTACAAACTGTGTCACTATAAACATGGGTGAGCATGCAATGCTATAAGCATGGGTAAGCATGTGCCACTATAAACATGGGTGAGCATGATACTTTTAATGCTTTTGGGAAGATTCTCAGCAGAGGAATATCTGAATCAAATGGGATTTCTAATCCTAGTTGTTTGAGGTATCTCCATATTGATTTCCATAATGGTGGCATCAATCTGTACTCCCACCAACAATAAAGAAGGATTCCTATCACCCCACAACCCCACCAGCATTTGTTATTGGTTGATTTCTTGATAGCAGCCATTCTTACTGGAGTGAGATGGAATCTCAATGCTGTTTTCATCTGCATCTCTCGAATGACCAGTGATGTGGAACATTCTTTCATATGATTGTTTGCTGCTTTTACTTCTTTGTTTGAGAAATATCTGTTCATTTCAGGTGCCCATTTTTGAATTGGGTCTTTATATTTGGGTTGGTCTGATTTTTTTGAGTTCTTTATATATTCCAGATAGTAGACCTTTGTCTGAGAAACAGCTAGTCAAAAATTTTCCCCACATTGTGGGTTGTCTCTTAGCTCTGCTTGTCATTTCTCTGGCAATGCAGAAGCTTTTTAAAAAGATGAGATCCCAACTGTTGATTCTCTATGCTAGTTCCCATGCTACTGAGGATTTGTTCATAAGGTCTTTTCCTATGCCTATATCTTCAAGAGTGCTACCTAACCTGTGTTCCAGCAAGTTTAGTGCTTCTGTTTAAATATTTATATCTTTAATCTACT